GAACAAACATGGTTGGCTTGTTCCCAATATTAGGGGGCAAGCATTCCATTGGTGGTAAATTTTTCACCATTAAGTATAATGTTAGCTGTAGGATTTCTGTAGATGCTCCTTATTAAGTTGAGGAAATTATCCTCTAAATATGCTGAGAGTTTATCATGAACAGGTATTTAATTTTGTCACATGCTTTTTCTGTATCAATTGATATAATTGTATGATTTTTTTTTCTTTTATATGTTGATATGGTGGATTACATTGATGTGATTTTTTTTTTTTTTAGACAGGGTCTTGCTCTGTTGCCCAGGCTAGAGTGCAGTGGCATGATCATAGCTCACTGCAGCTTTGAACTCTTAGGCTCAAGTGATCCTCCCACCTCAGCCTCCCAGAGTGCTAGAATTACAGGTGTGAGCCACCGCTCCCAGCTCATATGATTTAATTTCTAGTGAATTTGTGGACTTTTATTTTATGTCTGAAGTCTAGGGTTTGACTGAGCACCCCAAATTTCATGTGTTGGAAAATTAATCCCTGAATTCATATGTTGATGGTATTTGGAGGTGATGCCTTCAGGAGTTAATTAGAATTAGATAAAGCCATAAGGGTGGGGCCACTTTGATGGGTTTATAAAAAGACAGACCTGAGCTGTCATGTTCTTGACTGCTTTTACCATGTAATGTCTTCCACTGCGTTATGATGTAGCAAGAAGGACCTCACCAGATGTTGGCCCCTTGATTTTGGACTTCCCAGCCTCCAGAACTATAAAAAGTACACTTCTTTCCTTTACAAATTACCTAGTCTCAGGTATCCTGTTTTAGCAGCAGAAAACAGATTGAGACACCAAAATATGCTCCATCTTGGTGAATGTTCCATGGGTGCTTAAGAAAAGTGTATTTTGCTACTGTTGGTTAGAATGTTCTTTTTTTTTTTTTTTTTTTTTTTTTTGAGACAGAGTCTCACTGTGTTGCCTGGGCTAGAAAGCCATGGTGTCAGCCTAGCTCACAGCAACCTCAAACTCCTGGGCTCAAGTGATCCTTCTGCCTCAGCCTCCCGAGTGGCTGGGACTACAGGCATGCGCCACCATGCCCAGCTGATTTTTTCTCTCTATATATATTTAGTTGGCCAATTAACTTATTTCTATTTTTAGTAGAGATGGGGTCTCACTCAGGCTGGTTTTTGAACTCCTGATCATGAGCAATCCTCCCACCTCGGCCACCCAGAGTGCTAGGATTACAGGTGTGAGCCACCATGCCCGGCCTTAGAATGTTCTGTATAGGTCAATTAGATCCAGTTAGTTGACCGTATTATTCATTTCTTCTATATCCATGTACATTTTTTGTCTAATAGTTGTATCAATTTCTGAGAGTGTGATGTTGAAGTCTCTAACTCTAATTGAGAATTTGTCTATTCTTCAGTTCTAACAATTTTTACTTTTATCAATATTTAGAGGTGTTGTTTGGTGCATGTACATTTAGGATTTTTAAGTCTTCCTGGTAGATTGATCATTTTCTCATTATGTAATAGCCTTCTTTTTTCTCTAGCAATTTTCTTTTCTCTGGAGTCTACTTCATCTGATATTAATATAGCTACTCTTGATTTTTAAAAGAATTAATTTCAGTGACGCAATGCCTGTAATCCTAGCACTCTGGGAGGCCGAGGCCAGAGGATCACTCAAGGTCAGGAGTTCGAAACCAGCCTGAGCAAGAGCAAAACCCCATCTTTACTATAAATAGAAACAAATTAATTGGCCAACTAAAAATATATAGAAAAAATTAGCCGGGCATGGTGGCGCATGCCTATAGTCCCAGCTATTTGGGAGGCTGAGGCAGAAGGATCCCTTTAGCCCAGGAGTTTGAGGTTGCTGTGAGCTAGGCTGATGCCATGGCACTCTAACCCAGGCAACAGAGTGAAACTCTGTCTAAAAAAAAAAAAAAAAAAAAAGAATTAATTTCTGCATGGCATATCTATTTCCATCATTTTACTTCCTACCTACTTATATTGTGTTTCATTGAGTTTCTTGGAGATGGCGTATCATTGGATCTTCTTAAAAATTCATTCTGCCAATCTCTGTATTTTCACTGCTGTATTTAGATATTTATATTTAAGGTAATTATAGATATAAGCTGTCATTTTACTATTTTCTTCACTTGCTGATTTTCTAAAATTCTTTCATGAATTCATGTTAAACTTTTTCAAATTCTTTTTCATCTAAATGTATGTTTTTTCTTTTCTAGTTTGTTAACATAGTGAATTACATTAATTGATTTTTGGATGTTCTACCAATCTTGCATTTCTGTTATGAACCCTACTTGATCATGATACATATATTGCTGAATTTGATTTGTTAATTCTTTTTTTAAGTATTTTACACATATTTTCATGAGAATTATTAGTCTGTAGTTTTCTTTTCTTATAATATCTTTGGTTTTGATATCAAAATAATATTGGACTCATAAAATGAGTTGGAAAGTATTAACTTCTCTTTTATTTTCTGGAAGCACTGTCAGAGAATTGGTATTATTTCTTTCTAAAATGTTTGATGTAATCTATCAGTAAAGCCAGGGCCTGAAGTTTTCTTTGTGAAATGCCTTGAACTATAGATTCAACATTTAAAATAGGTACAAAGCTATTCAGCTTATCTACTTTTTCTTGAATCAGCATTGGTAGATTGTCTTCAAGGAATATGTCCATTCCATCTAAGTTGCCAAGATTATTGGCATAAAGTTGTTTATTATATTCCTTTATTATCATTTTAATGCATATAGGGTTTATAGTGATATCCCCCCTTTCATTTCTCATATTGCTAATTTCTTTATCCTTTATTTTATTCTTTTCTTGATCTGTCTGGCTAGAGGTTTTGTACTATTGGCATGTTTGCTCTACTTTTTGCTTAGTGGTTGTTTTAGTGTATACAGTATACATTTTAACTCATCATAATCTACCTTAAAATAATTTTATATCACTCTATGTATAGTGTAGGAACCTTACAACATTATACTTCCATTTTCATCTTATGCCCTCTCAGCTATTTTTAGCATTCATTTTGTTTTTACTGATGTTACCCCCACAACACAGTGCTGTTATTTTTGCTTTGAACAGTCAATTATCATTTAAATATATGTATATTTTTTTTGAGACAGAGTCTCACTCTGTCGCCCGGGCTAGAGTGCCATGGTGTCAGCCTACCTCACAGCAACTTCAAACTTCTGGGCTCAAGCAATCCTTCTACCTCAGCCTCCTGAGTAGCTGGGACTAAAGGTATGCACCACCATGTCCAGCTAATTTTTTCTATATATTTTTAGTTGTCCAGCTAATTTCTTTCTATTTTTTTTTTTTTTGAGACAGAGTCTCACTTTGTTGTCCAGGCTAGAGTGAGTGCCGTGGCATCAGCCTAGCTCACAGCAACCTCAAACTCCTGGGCTCAAGCGATCCTGCTGCCTCAGCCTCCCAAGTAGCTGGGATACAGGCATGCATCACCATGCCCGGCTAATTTTTGTATATATTTTTAGTTGGCCAATTAATTTCTTTCCAATTATAGTAGAGACGGGGTCTCGCTCTTGCTCAGGCTGGTTTTGAACTCCGACCTCGAGCAATCCGCCCGCCTCGGCCTCCAGAGTGCTAGATTACAGGCGTGAGCCACCGCGCCCGGCCTTCTTTCTATTTTTTAGTTGAGATGGGGTTTCACTCTTGCACAGGCTTGTCTCCAGCTCCTGAGCTCAAGCAATCCGCTCGCCCGCCTCAGCCTCCCAGAGTGCTAGGATTACAAGTGTGAGCCACCGTGCCTGGCCCATTTAATGAAATTTTAAAATGAAAAAGTATGGTTTTCTTTATGTTTCTTTTGATTGGGTTTCATTGAGGCTTTTTCAACAGGTCATTGATGGGCCTCTCATTCTTTTTTTTTTTTTTTTTGAGACTGCGTCTCACTTTGTTGCCCAGGCTAGAGTGAGTGCCGTGGCGTCAGCCTGGCTCACAGCAACCTCAATCTCCGGGGCTCCAGCAATCCTACTGCCTCAGCCTCCCGATGCTGGACTACAGGCATGGTGCTACATGCCTGGCTATTTTTTGTATTATATTTTTAGTTGGTCAATTAATTTATTTCTATTTTGGTAGAGACGGGGTCTCGCCCAGGCTGGTTTAGAACTCCTGACCTTGAGCAATCCGCCCGCCTCGGCCTCCCAAAATGCTAGATTACAGGAGTGAGCACCACGCCACCGCCCTGATGGGCCTCTCATCTTTTTCAGTGTTTTTTCTCTTGTGCTTCACTTTGGATAATTGCTATTTGTTTAAGTTAACCAAAATTTTTTTTTGCAGTGCTTAATCTCCCGTTAATCTCCTCAGTGTATTAGAGTATATATTTGTAAATTTTACATTGTTGGATTCTGGATTTTGTTGTATGCCTTTAAAGAGCATTGCACTTTGTTTGGCAACGTTAGCAGCTTAAGTCCCTGCAGATATTTTTGTAGATTGGTTTGTAAGTTCTTTGTGTTGGGTAGGTTAGCACTTTATTTAGAACCACTTTCAACCCCTTTTAAATATGAAACTCTTTTGAGAACTCTAACCTGATGTCTGCCTGGGAATTGAAAGTCTGTCTATCTTGCCTTGTGAGTTCTGAAGTTGGTTTGCTGTTGTTTCTGGTGTTTCTTCTCATTGCCTTGTGGAATTTCATTCTGTATAAATCACTAGTCAGTTCCCAAATACTCAGGGACTTCTCTGCAGATTTCTGAAGCACTCTTTTTTGCATCCTTTCCTTTTCCTACTCCTGTTTGTGACGCTAGTTTTCTTGGCATTCGTCAAACTACAGTTGACCTTGAAAAGTGTGACGTTTGGGATGCGTGACACTCCCACCATGCAGTTCAAATCACATATCAATTTTAACTCCCCAATTTAACTACAATAAGGCTACTGTTGACTGGAAGCCATACTCATAACAACCAGTTAATGTGACCTATATTTTGTGTTTTATGTATTATCTTGCCTGTAC